TATCGAAACTTTATAAATTCAGTCTATTTTTTGAAGACTTGCACCTTCACTTTTTCATTACCTCGCTCTTCTTGAGATAATCGTATCGTGCATTCCCTGATTCTTAACAAAGAACGAAATTCTTCGCTGATATTTCGTTGAAAGAAATTATTGATTATTATTTGGATCACATTTATCGGATCTATCGAAGACCAAATATCGTACGTCGTGGCTCGTGTACGTATCAGGGGGAGCATGATGTCACGAAAGAAATGGAAGAAGTCCAAAAGGGAAAAGGAGGAACGGGGGAGAGGCTGATCCCTGATGTAGCGCCAAGAATTCGAGGCAGTCGTTAGTATGCTAATGAGTGTCCACCGTTTCTTCGCTTCTTCGGTTCGGTAATGCGTGCGTCTGTAAATTATTTCAAATATTTCCCGAACCCGTCCCCACCTATCCTCGATCTCTACGTCTCTAGTCCTCTCCGTGAGAATCGAGCGCGCCTCCACGGAGGCGTGCACGAGGCTCTCTATGTTGAAACGGAATACATGTAAAAAGTTTAGATAGATCGCGCGCGATTTGTCGACGCTCGAGCCGACAATGTCAAAGTTGACCCTCATTTTTTCTCCTTTCACTGGACTATAAATGGAAAAGTAGAATTCTTTATGTACGCGCGAAGTTGTAGCTGCTTGTATGTCCTCTCTTGAGATTTTTTTTTCTCTTTCTCCCTCTCTCTTTTCTTTTTTTAGATGTTCACTCGACAATGTTACCGAACAATATCACGTATGACTCTCACGTGGAAAGGTTAGGGAGTTACTTTCGTTTTAACTTCGAAAGTTATCGTGGATTATTATATATATCCAAGACTTCAGAATTAAAATAATAATACTGGAAACTGCATTTGTAATCTATCGAATAGACGGAAATAACAATAACAAAAAATTTAATTATATTATATTATTTTCGATGATCTAATAAATTTTGAGTCGAAGGAAAGAGCACATATAATTAGTTTCGTGACAGTAGAAAACTTTAGAAAACACCATTATTAATCCGGAGCAACGATCTCATTGATCAAATTCTTTAAACAACGGCCCCTACCGACTATCTTCCCGCCCAGAGGAGAGAGCACGAAGAGTAATATTCGTCGGCCGCCTTTATTTCTTTCCCTTTAATTCTCACCTGTGGACGACTTTCGTGGCGATTCTCGATATCAGAACCCCGATGGCGCCGTTATATATATCCCCCCATTCGTAGATAAGATCGAAAACGCCGTGAGAGCAACGTTCCAGACCTCTCCCCGTGTACACGATGATAATATTAATTCCTCGTGCCGGCGTATCGTCTTTCATGCGATCCCGCGGCTGCGATCCGCGATCATTAATTAAACATTCAATTTGTATGAGAAATTTTCGCGATCGACCCAGCCTCGCTCCGGGGGAACGTTGATCGATGTTGGATCAGGGGCGGGAAAAAGGTCCCGGGAACGCGGCGAGCGGCGATTTGTCCTCCTAACGGGAACCTGGGCACGAAAAAATTCGCCCGTGATGATGCTCGCCGAGAAAGGAGGTCGTAATGTGGTTCGATACATCGATATTGCAAGATGCTTAAGTACTTAATAGGCGAGGGGAAAATATGTCCGCTCTCTCGTACGAGAGATTGAAATAAACTTGTAAAATTATAAATTAGCGAGCGTTTACACGATAAACACGGAATAAAGTTTTGGGATGAATTAAATTCTTTATTCTTCAAGATCGATGAAATGATCTTTAGAAATCCAATTGTATAATGTTACGATATTAAGAAAGAATACACAGTTTGTTTCTTTGATATGATCATGACAGATTCGTGTTCGAGCGATGCTACACCATTTGTAATAATCTGGACCAAAAGAATCATTTGCATATATCAAAATTTCTGACGAAATTTCCCCGACGAATCGTGGAAAAGGAATAAAAAACTCACAATAACACATTAAGTACTACCTGACTAAAGTCGAGAAGAAGACCAACTGTTCACCAATTGCTCAACATCGCCCATAAACCTGTCCCCTCTTCCCCTCCCAAAAAAAACCACACCCGATAACCTCAAAACTCCATTCTCCACTCATCAACCACTAATAAACACGTAAGCGTCGCCGTTCTTATCTTCAAGGTGTATCCACTATGGAGAACGAGGGCGAGAAAACCGTAAGAGGAAGGAGGTAAACGTATCACGCAACGGGAGAATCGAGAATAGAGAGAGAGAGAGAGAGAGAGAGAGAAAGAGAGAGGTGGATCGCGGGCAAAGAGGCTTTCAAAGCCACCGATATGTATCCACACATAAATCCGTATCACCGTGTAGGCCGTATTTTCTTTCGTAGGTAACGTTCGATCCTAGAAGAGATCCCACGATTCCACGATGGAAAGAGGGAAAGGGAGGGGATTCTAATTTACCTAAAACGCGTTATCTGCTCGGTCGGTCTCTCCGGGAAACCTGAACGCACGCGGCTAAGAAAACAGAGACAGCCGTGGCCCCGTGGTTGCCTTAATGAGGTCCAATTACTATCGGATGGGTCACTTAGTATGCGGTACCGATATTCCACGGTGCACCACATTAGTGGGACGAGGGGGAAGGGGGACGTGGGGGGGAAGGAAAGGGACGAGGAAGAGGCAAGGGTCAACACCCTTGCGAAGGGAACGCGCGGCCTAACGAG